CCGTTAACACTAGCCCAAGAAGACTATCCGGCTTTATCTTACCTTTTATATGGGCTCCGTTACGCCAAAAGAAAATTAAAAATTAAAAACCTATATGGATACATAATGGTTTGGCTAATTACCTTTCATACTTGTCCTGCTACTTTTGCTAGAGTGTATGTGTGTGTTTGTTAGCGTATATACGCAATACCGGTCCTAAATTAGAGTTATCAAAAGGTTAAAGTTAGGCTCTGACCATCAAGGCCTAATGACCTCACAGAAATCCCTGATCGAGACTGCATACGTCTGTAATCGAGTATGATTGAGATAATGAAATATGAGCTTGTAAGCATGTAAGTCAACTTACGAAACCACTTGTCCTAACCTCTCAGTCTAGGGTCATTAAAGTTTAACCCTCTCAGGAAAGGCATGACTGGTTAGCACGTCTGGTTTGGTTGATGAGCGTAATCTAACCTGTTGGACGAGTGTGAGTGAAGTTAGAACCATCACTGAGCAGACAAATTAAGTCGTCTTCTTTTTTACGGCGGCTCAACACCCTCTCTCTTTCAATCTATCAATCAAGCATAAGCATTCTACCCCCGTTCCTCACATTCAATGTAGTTCCTAAGCTATTAATTTCAATAGCCTCTCCTATCTTTCTTTTAACCACAGGCGTACCATAATCAGCAAACCTACTAGTTTGAGACCATTTTATTTATGTCCAGTTTCTAAAATGTCTTTGGCCACTTCTGACCGTTGGATCAAGCTACCTTTGTAAGCATTTTTGTGTTTTACTAATCTTTGTCGAATAGGTCGGTATGCCTCACCAACATAAAATAGACCACATGAGCAAACAATCTTGTAGCAGCCGGATCTCGATATTGGGTCATATTTCTCTTTAAAAGATGGCATAATAGAAGACAGTGTAAATGTTTCTTTGAACACTGTTTTTATGCCCCCCTTTTTAACAATTCGCCTATCTGTTTTGAGAGAAGGCATGGCGGCCAAATTAGGATCTGTGAAAATGTCTCAGTTTGTCTATCTTTTACTAAATGGTCTCCGCCTGAAAATGTATTCCTCAGTAGAGAGATATTATTCTCAATTAGGCCCAAAGGATAATTATTTTCCAGGAATAAATTTGTCAGCCGTTCAAACTCTTTAGTCAAATGTTTGCTATCCACTAGCCTCATACTTCTAAGAATCATTGACGGATAGTGTTCTTTGCCGAGTGTTAACGTGAGACTCTTACAAAAATAAAATCCAGCTCTAATGATGTCGATCATATGATGGACGAAAGCTCAGCACGCTTTCACCCTAAACGAGTGAGGAAGTCTCGTGAACTGCGTCAATATGAATATCGTATAAAAGCCAAACGGCTGCAGTACGAGATTCATCCGTCCTCATCTGGTAAGATCGAACAACGAAATTAAGCTCCCCTAACAATGAGATGCATCGAAACCAAGTTTCTCCTCGTATCCATTGAAGTATACATGGCTCTGCATTCTAAAAGGCTTCTCCTTTGGACTCAACTTCAGTTTCGACCTCATTTTAGGCACATTGGCAATGCTAGAGGGAACGAAAAATGGGTGGTGACAGTAAAGCAAGAATTTTACGATACCTTCACATCGCTTTGGTCGCCAGGGGACCAGATGTGATCTTCAGAGCAAATCTGATCAGCCCTAAACTGCATGTAAAGTGGCACGTGTGTCGATAATTTAAGCATACGCTGAATAAATTAGCTCCAAAAGTATCACTTGATAGATAATAAGAACTTGAATAGCATGGGGTGAACGAGTTGGTTTTTAATTCCGTTGGGGATGTTGATGAGTCACATGCCAGGTCAAAACTGTATTCGGGATAGGATGCGAAAAACCTTTGAGAGGCAAGGCAAAAAAGACTTAATTAGCTTTGTAGAGACTCAACTCATCCAATTTTGGGAAACTCAATTATTACCCCCTTCATTACATCAAATGACCTGGCCGACTCAAGTTATTATTCATAAATTTTCATCCTTCAATCTTTCTAACCTTGGTTAAATAAACGTCATTACACTTTTAAAAAGGTGCGGCATTCAGTCGCTAATCTCAATGAAAACTAACTTAATTCTTAAAAAGTGAATGTCAATGTAATCTTGAGGCTTACTTCGTGCATTGTGGGAAATCAAACTGTCAATCCTTATATAACCGTAAACTACTTAAATCTGGACTAAGTTTTGAAACTGTCAGCAAGGAGTAAATAGGAATTGTAGTTACCCCAGATAGCATAAGAATGTGAAGAAGGATTTTATCACAGTTTTGTGAGTTGGTTTCACGATACTATTGCCCTCCAAAAGCTATCCTCATCCAGAATGGACTTTAGTTTCGACCTCACCTGAGTCTAGGCAGCACCCCAACGTGAATCAAACCAGTTATTATTTCAACATTTCATATTTACCTACCTATTTATGGATAGGTACTATCTGTCCTGTGGCCCATTGGCACCCATGACAGTGTGCCGTAGTGATAACAAGTCGAAATTAAACGTTGCGCCACTCGGGTTCGAATCAAGTTGGGGGTGCTGATGAGGCTCAGGAAAGATTGATACTATAGTACACTCTAGATGACGATAGGCTAAATAATATCAATTTTCCATCAGTGAG